CCAGTAAGTTTTTTCCCTCTCAGTGGGATATTCCCGGAAAACCTTGGGAAAAAATGCATTGTAATCAGTTGACTGCACCACCTCAAATGATAATGATGAGGAGTAGCAGCTGTACTCTGAGATGTCCCTTGATGACGAAAATCCTTGCCTTATCTTTAAAGTTGCTTTTACAAAACCGTTCTGCAAAATTACCACAAGGACAAGTCGATCTGTAAACTACTTTTGACCATTCATCAATCACTAATGGAGCCAGCCATGTCGGGTGAAGATGTGAACTTTCAGAATCAGAAATGAAACAAGAATAAAGAAACCAAAAGATGTTTAGTGCTGAACTCAGCTGCATTGACATAGAACTCTGCACAATGAATATGTGACAAACGTCTCCTTCAGAACATTTTCTAAACATGACTATATAAAAGAGTATAGCAATTCTCCATGGTTAACCATTTTTGCGACTAAATATAAAGTTACTGAACATCATTATTAAATAGTCTCTCTTCAATAAATCTGTTTGTTGTTTAATTCCATGCTTTGGATTCAGTGGCACTTTCAAAAAGACAGGAGACAGAACTGGAAGTGGCAAAAATGAAAATGTTGTGGTTCTCATTAGGAGTGACAAGAATGGACAAGATTAGGAATGAGATCATCCAAGGTACAACACAGGTTGAAGAACTAGGAGATAAAGTTAGAGAGGCCAGACTGAGATGGTTTGGACATGTCCAGAGGAGGGACAGTGTGGCATATTTGTAGAAGGATGTTGTAAATGTAGTTGCCAGGAAAAAGACAACAAGGAAGGCCAAAGAGGAGACATATGGATGCAGTTGGAGAGGATATGGAGATAATTGGGTTGAGGACAGAGAATGCAGAGGACAGAGTGAGATGGAGGAGGATGACTCGCAGTGGTAACCCTAAAGAGGGAAAAGCCAAAAGAAGTTTAACTCTATCATCACAGATTTCACATAGGTCATGTCATCGTTTTTCACATTTTTGCGCCACATAGCTGTCTTACCTTTTCACATTTCAAATATTTAAGGTCTGTTACTACCTCACGTGGTGGCACAAAGGTGTATTGGAGGGGAGGTGGCTTCAAACTCCCTTAGCACCTTGGTTCATTCAAAAAAATCACACTGATGAAGCCAGAAGGCATCTAATGCCCCTTTTCCATAGGAATGGCTTGGAACGGTTCGACACAGCTCAACTCGGTTCAGTACGGCACAAGTTGCTTTTCCATATACACTTCAGTACTGGTTCTAGTGGGCAGGTCCAGAATCCAACGCGCCTTACCAGCTGGTGGCGGTAGTGCTCTATTATGTTATTTACTAGCCACCACTAAACGTATTATAGGAAGAAGACCCTGAAAAGATACACAACCGAAATGGAGGCTGTCCTGGCTTTGTTGAACATTCTGCTTATTCTGTGGCTTTTTGTCAAAAGTCCAAGAGAAGAGATCCAGAAAAGGCTGCGGGCAGCGAGGCAAAAGACTAGAGAAGTACAAGAGAGTGTGGGAAGACATAAAGATGCAAGTTAAACGACGTGTGAGGGTGTGAGGATGTGAGGGTGAGCTAATGCTAATAATGCTATAGTAGGAGGAGAGTGTAAAAGTATGTAAATGTCGATCAAATATGGCTAAGTAATACGTGTGTGTGTTTCAGATGATTCTTCAACAAAATAATCACAGCAGACTTACAGTCGGTTTACGTCCAGCTGTGCAGCGACAGCATACAATGTGTACCATTAAATAAAAGTGTCTGTCCCTGCCCTAAACTATCGACGTATCATTTCAGTATAGATGTTGACAATAAAAATGTATTAAAAATTTCTTGACTTTTGTTATGACACTTTACTTTTGTTATTTACCAAACATTGTGGATGGATGGATGGAATTACAATAATAGTAATAATGGCCTGAAGAGTTAAAATAAGTCATTTAATTTGATGTGTTCAGGAAGAGTTAACTCTTTTAAAGACTAACTAGTTGTTTTATTTTGTGAATAAAATAAAATAAACAGTATTTTATGCAGTTAAATAAGGTGGTTGATTTTTCCCTAAGGGTCATGAATAGTCACAAAGTTAACGAACAATAAAAGGGTTAACCTGGAAGCTTCAGAATTTGTCCAGATAAAACATCATTCATGTCAGATTAATACTCACACACCCACGGACTGGATAAAATCTGGATTTAGCTCAAAATCATGACTTAAACTTGAAAAAGATTTCAGTACAGGGTGAAAATTTATTTTGAAGTTTCTGCTAAATTAAAAAGAATACAGATTATTAAAATGATTAAGTTAAACTATATATACATATATATATATATATATATATATATATATATA